CAGTTTAGTACAGCTGCCAAATGCACCTTCTTCATCTTTAATTTTTTAGAAATCCCATTTAGCTGAATGTCACGTAGTTCCTGATTGTAAATGAATACATATTATGTCTACTGTAAATGCAAAGACATCCACATACTGTATAATTCGTTGAGCGAACTCTCGAGAACAGCAAAGCTGAAGGTAGAAATATGGATGATAGATGGCGATTCTAGGAACAGGAACAGGTCGCGGTGTCACGGGCATACAAGCAAAAAACCACGTGCGCGTCCTTTCCGTGTCGCTTACTGTCGCGATTCGTACTGTTCGTCCCCTTGGGAACCCAACCATATAACTTGGGATCAGGCTGATGCGCCATTTTGCGCCTTACGCCGACAATTTACTGGACCACACACGTACTCACGACGCACAGATCCTGAAAGGTCGCGTACGACCCTTCGCGTGGGACGTGGTCTCATCTCACTGGTATTTACGATTTCGCCCCTTTCGTGTCTCTGCGTAGGCATACTTTATAGATATCCAGCCGGATAAATACGTCGCATTCGTTCTGTCGCTGTATCTCCCTTTTCTTTCCTTCAGTTCTCGTGCAGTCGTGGTAATTACAAGAATTGTGCCTCCTTGTTTTTCCATATTTTTAATAAAGCTTGAACATCGAGTATCCATCAAGAGATAGATAGAAAGATGTTTCACATTAATCTCTCACGGAGAAGAAGAAGCGTTTAACGAACATGTTCGTAGCAACAGCATTGATATTTTATTTGTTGGCCTAGCTGTGTTCGATTTCTGTAGTTAACGTTGCCTTGTAGTTACTTTAAACACGTTATGTGTACAATGTGTACAACTCAACGTGTGAAACGAGATAGAAGAGGATCGAGAAAGTATAAAAGGGTTGCTAGAAATTTTACATAATACACGACAAAGTCTGGCGCATCATTGGAAGGTGTCGTCGATCCCGTAGATCGTAATTCCGGATGATCCGTTTTTACGAAGGACACTGGTAGATCCGCGTGCCTCTTTTCGTCGTTAATCTTGCCTGATCTTCTCAAATCTTCGCGTTAATTCTGTTTTATCGATCCGATTCACTTAACTGCAATATCAACTGTATTTGTTGCCAACTAATCCAACACATCTATCTCGTTTCATTCTCTCTTTTTTTTCTTCGATTTGAGAAATTTCGATTTTGTCAGACTTTCATTTCTTTTTTTTTTTTTTTTTTTTTTTTTTACAAAATCGGGTGAAATTGATTCGGTGAATTTACTACGAAATTTGTTTATCTACGATGGAGAAAGACTGAACAGAACTGTTGCTGGGAACATATACGTCGTTCTTAGGTATAATTATCACAGAGGCATAAAATAGTATCATAAATCACGATGAGAATGTCATAAATCAAACGAGCAAATAGTTAGTAGCAGGCAAAGTGCTTAGTTCTTGCTAAAAATTTATGTTGATCGATTAACTGGTTTTGTTATTCGTTAATGAAGCATAAGGATGTTAAAGACTATCTTAAGCCTTTTTGAAAGAAAAAAAAAAAAAAAAAAAAGTATCGAAATAAGTGCTCACGCGTTGACAATCAACTCGTGACCATTGGAAATCTTAGGAGTGTATTATACAGGAAGGTACATTAATCTTGCGAGAATAAAATTCTTGATTATAAAGAAATGTACAGTTAGAATCCATTACCGTTTGAGGAACTACCAACGGTACCATGTAGAGGAGACTTCAACAGGAAATGTTTACAGACCAGATCGCGGATGTTTATGCAAATTCATATATTTCGTAATATAAATGCCCAAACGAGAAAATCTGTCTCGCCGGTACTTCACTTTGCACGCTTCATATTTACATTCCGCGAAGTTTTGAAATTTCTTTCAAACTCCTACTAAGGTCGTACTATTATTATTATTTAGAATGAACTTGGACTGAATCTAAATTAAAGTGAACTTTAATTTAAAAAAAAAGCGGAGTGAAATAAAGGAAGAAAAAAAGTTGCGCGCATAATTCGCCGCATGGTGAATGTGCTCGTCGAAATCGAAAGAAAGAGCGAGGCCGAGAGAAAGAACGAACGAAGCGAAGGGAACCGACACGGAGAACTCTGGATCGGGATAATAAATTGATTCGACGTGGCCAAGGAAACGCGTCACATTAACATACGTTTGCATTTTATTAATAGAGTGCCAGAAGTGTGGCTCGATTCGTTTTGCTTCTACAACGCGATCGCGATATATTATCGGCCCTATTTCTCACGTCGATTTTTTCCCCTCTTAATTCCACGGAATATACACACTTTGTCATCGACCGGCCGACGTTTCTTTCGCGCGGTCGTGGCGAAATAAAATCGTTCCCTCGATTAGCATAACCGCTAACACCGTGCGTATCAGCGTACACTCATATTTAGTATCTTCGATCTACAACGTTGAACGTTTTAATTTTAATTTACAAAACGTTTTAATTTTACAAAAACTACAAAACGAAAAGCACAATTAATTGATTAAGCAGTCTATCCAGTTGTCGCATCACCGGGCTAATTAAAAATTTCTCAACTCTCGCAGAGCGAAGAACTCTCGAATTAAATTTCAGCTTTCTCTTCCAGCTTTATTATCCAATAAATGACTCCAGCTAATCGCGAAACGGATCCGTACCCTTGTCCGTACACCAGAATGGCAAAGAAAGGGCGAGGGAAATGGTGAAAAGCCGACGTGTACTACATTGTGATCGCGCGAGGGCGAGAAATCGGATGGCGATTTAAATAGATTTCGAGTGGCTTCCATGGAAGACGTATTATACCTGCGGGGGATCGTTTTCACCCTCTGGGTCACGGTGTCTTTACGGTGGGGAGGACTCTTTTTTTTTTCTTTTTTTTTTTTTCTACGAAGGCGTGAAGAGGCTCGTGCCCCTTGGCATACCACTCGAAAAACCGCTGGAAACACACAAAAACCCCCCGGCCGTCCATTATTTTCCGTGGAAAACGTTCTTTCTCTTCTTCTCCCTCTTCTTCCCTCTTCTCACGCGTGCGTGCGTTTGTCTCGTTCTATTTCGTACGGCAGTGAGTATATATATATATATATATGTCGTTTGAAAGAGCGAGCCGAAAGAAGGATGCTCCGTAGTCGGCCACTTTGTCAACTTGTCACCTGGACGACGCGAGAGAAAACGAACCGGGAGACCCCTTCGGTATCCGAAGGGGACGACGATCGTTCTTGTTCGCACCAGGAAGTCTTCGCATCTTTTCCTCTTCCTCGAGATCTTTCTTTCTTCTTCTCCATTTTTTTTCCTTCTTTAGTTTCTCGATCGGGTAAAGAAGGATATGCGGTTCTTTGACTTTGGAAGTCGCAACTTTTGGACTGGTTTGATGGTTGATCAATCAATCGGGTTAATCGAGATGGGTCAGTTTATGGGAAAGCAATTATTGGAGCACCAGTGACACAGAGAGTCGCAGAGAGAGTACCTCCTCAACTTCAAACAGTTATCATCATCATCGACAGTATCAATCTGTAAAGTTCAGAGCACAAATCTGGACGAGCTATCAATTAACCACCAAGTGAGGAATTGAAGAGTTTGACCACGAAATCGAGAGTCAGAGGGATCGAGCAAGTCCCCAAGATCGAGAACTCGACTCTCCATTCAGCGACAAAAAGAAAAACGAGAAAAAGAAAGGGAAGAAAAAGGCTGCTCAGAGTGTTTCCATTGTTGGCCACGGGGGAACGAGTATTATCGTTATTACCTATGTCGAGTGGCATTGGCCAGGAGACATCGAGCCAGACAGGCAGGCCGGTCGCAAGGGAAACGAGAAGAAGAAGTATCGATTTCAATGGACGACGGTGTCGCGGTGACCGAAAAAGTGACACGAAGCCGCGAATACCGTAGGAAACGGGCGCGTAGCCGGACCCCCGTAGGACCTCCCGTCGACAGGCTTTCAAAGTTTGAAAGTCATACCCTCCGATGGATGGTGTGTGGTGTGCCTTCCTCGTCGTCGACAAGAGGGGACCGAAAGCGAAACCACTCGAGAGAGGCAAGAATGGGGGCCCCATGGCCATTCTCAATAGAGGCGTGTACAAACGCCGATGTGCGATGCCTCGCTGCGAAACCGTTCACCGTCTACCTTTGTGTAAATAAGGCAATAAGGCGAACCAAGCGGGATTATTCTTTGCTTAAGTCTACAGATCGGATTACGAAAGGTTGAGAGAGAAAGAGAGTATGTATATATCGGTTATTGATTCTTATTTGGATTGTCAAAAAAATATTTGATGGGGATTTTTGAAACACACATACACAAAAGCACAGAATGATAGTTTTTAGATTTAGATGGGAAGAGTTAGAAATTACACAAGCTAATGTTCCAAGGAATATTTCAACGTTTTAATACTTGATTTAGTTGAAAATACTTACTGAAAACAAAAAAGTTAAATTAAAGAAGACTAACTAAAAAGAGCCCACGTACCCACGGGCCGAAAGGAGAGAAAAATTGAAATTTAAAGAGCAACGATCGTCGGATTGTTGCCCCCGTAGTAGGAAGGCCGGCTCCAGAAGTATCATTCTCATAATAAACCCCGAAAATCACGCCCCGTGACAGGCCGTGCGACCGCAGAAAGCAAGAGATTCAGAATAGTCGTGCCGTGTTAGGTACAAATGGGAGGGTATGTCGGTTCACCGTGGCTCCATGGGGTTGGCCCTGTGCCTCTCCATGATGGGCACCACATGCGGAAACCTTACAACACGCGTGTTCTCTCGAGCGTTAGGTGTTATATAGGTGTAGAGGTAGCACCTACGAGGCTTGCAGGTATTACGTTACAATGGCATTATGTAACTCCCATACGCCGGCATTGTGCAGCCCGTTGTGACGTATGGTTAACCACCAACCATAACCAACCAAATGTTCGCACGTTCTAACTGTGGAAGGATCCTGGTGTGTGCATGCATGTGATCCTGTGGAAGTATCGATGGGTGTTCTGGAAGCTGAAGATACATGGAAGCGATGTTTGAAAAATCATCGGATAAATAGACGAGGCTCTGATAATTACAAATTGGATGATAGTTTCTACAAAGTATACAACATGCGACAAATTTAATTTCAGAGTAAAATTTTGAAAGATGTTGAATTTCAACGAGTACGATCCTTGGTGATCCTTTGAATCCGCCGCGCCGCGAAGCCTCCGCAAGCTTTTTGATATCGTGACGCATATATTAGACTAATAGCCGAAAGGAGTCTAATCCTCCGTTTTACGATCCCGCCTCGCCATGCAACCGTGGCTCGTTATTGTCACCTATAACTCTCTCTTTGCCGGGCCAACCGCTAACTCGTGGGTGTGCGAGTCGTCGTGACACACGAATGAACCAGTCGAAACGATACGGCCAGTAATATTTTAGCCGCGGATTTATTACGACGGAAGAAAAGGCCTAAAGCTGAGAGATTAACGAGCCACTCGCCCCATCAGGGCTTGCTCTTAAGTTACGCTCTTACCTGTAACTCTAACGTAGCAGAAACCATTGTTTCGGCAATCGTATTTACAAGCGAGTTTTCCCCAAAACGTTTCCAAGGATCACTCCACGAAAATCCCATAACGCGCACCCCTCCTATGCGTGTAAGTTTATTTACACGGCACGCCCCGCTCGTTGAGAAATCATTTAGCTCGTAGCATTTTGTATTCGCGGATGGAATCGTGCAGTACGACACGAGCAGTCCTAACAACAAGACCGTCGACACACAATAAGAGAGGCGCTGGAAGGCGGCTGGACGCCGCCACGGTTGCCCATTTAACAGCGTCCCCAAGCAGATTCCAGCCCCTGCACAACCATCGCATCGGGGATGTTACCGGAGTGGGCTGGCCACACATATATATATATATATATATATTACACCGGTGAGCTCGTAGAAACCATACAATAACCGATCTGTACACGCAAGAGGGCACGTCGGCTACATTGAAAGGGAACGTCGACTTCACGAGGGCAGACGATTCGTGCTCACCTTCCGAAGATCCGTGGTGGTTATGTTGGCAACGGTGTAACGCTTCGCTGCGGGGTGCACCTTTTCGCTTGACCAGCTGCCGAGACAAACTGCGCGAGAGAATTTGGTAAAATATAAACGGAGAATTAGCGAAAATATCGATGACTGAAGCGTATCTATTTGATGACGGAAGAGCGATAATCACGCGCTTCGTTCGTAAGTTTTATCCATTTTTTTTGAGTGAAAGAACGAGCCGTCGGTTAAGTCTTCACGCCTCGCGCGATCGTTTGACAAGATTAATTCAACTTAATGTATAAGCGAAACCATCGGATATTCTTCTGTTTCACGAAGGCTATGGCACGTTTGATGGATGCGTGTGTTTCGATCAATCTGTTTCAATGCAGTTTGCTGCGACCCTTCAGAATCTTTCGTTGGAAACATTTTATATATTTTATATACGGATTGTTGCATACTTTGTCGGAGAAGACACTTTGTGCCTCTTTGAATTAACAATCATCTAATAGAGTCTCTCTATTGAGATCCAGGTGAGATTCCCACCTTTAAGTTTAATTCATTTCTCTTGAGATCTGTCTAACTTTTTCGATGATGAAATGATTGCAGACGGAAGTGGAAGACATGGCGAGCGACGGCGTGTGCGAAGGCACTGGTCCGAATCTCGCGGCAGGCGAGAACACCGGCGGCCTGATAGGGCCGGAAATGTCGCCAAGCGTGATGGAGTGCGGCGGCTGTGGAGAACGCGTCCGCGAGCGCACTGTCCTCTGCGTCGGCGGTCGAACTTGGCACTCGCGGTGCTTGAGGTGCTGTGCTTGTGCCAGGCCTCTACACGACCAGCATTCCTGCTTCCTCAAGGGCATGAGACTCTACTGCAGGCACGACTACGCTCTGTAAGTTGAGAAATTCGTTCACTCGCCAGCTCCTTGTGTGCCTTAAACAAATGCCTAACCTAATTCAACGCAGAGAGTTCGCAAAAGAAATCGTCCAGAAAAGCATAAAATAATACACTGTCTAAACACATCCAATAAGATTCTACCTTCATTTCTTGGCATGGAATACGCCATGGAATCTCTGCGGTGGAGTAGAATTTCATTCGACAGAGATAGATTTAGATATGACAGACTATGAACAAATTCCAGTAGCTAGAAACGCCCTCTCACGTTTCGAGAAATTGTTTTCAAAAAATTCGGCCGAAGATTGGGCAATAAAGATATCAAATATTATCAGGCGAGTAGCTACAACGCTTTGGTACGTGGAAGCAAAACGACATACCGCGAAACATAAATCGAGGCTCGTAATTGCCACCTCGCCGTCAAAGATCTACGTTTCCGTGTAGCCGCAATTTAGCGATCGGGGGAGATTCAATTATCGCGATAACGAGAAAGTAAACGGGCGGTCTGTTATGCGTGTTAACATTCAAACGCGCGTTGATCTATCGGTAGAATAATAAACCGTGGTGGAAAAATTGGCGTGCCATGTTTGCATTATCAGTGCAATAAATAACAATTGCAACGTTGAGGAGAGTTCTCGATCGATCGCCGGCCTTCGCCGACAGTCGCGAAAATCACTTCACCTCGATCGATCGCCGATTGCAAATCAACGTCAACGTTTCTATAAATTAAATGAGATTTTATCGGGTGTGAATTAAGTTGTTGCGTCGTTTGCTTAGCTGAAATTGGAATTTATCGCTTCGTCACGAATCGGCGACTGTTTTCATTGAAATTTATTGTATTTCGATTTTTCCCCTCAATGTTACAAAGATTCTATCGTATCTTATTAAATTGAAAAGTAACAGAGAAAGTACAGAAAATTTCTTGAAAAATCATCGGTACCAGTTTCGTTCGAGAAAAATTCAATTAGTCTACCCCTATTTACTTACACAACGTAAAGACACGTTGTAGCGGTATCGAGGGCGGCTTGTTTCGAATATTTTCGTAGGATGGCCGATAAGAGACGAAAAAGAAGCTCGGCAGTGACTGGCCGATTGTACGCGAAAGAATTCGAATCGAACGCTTTCTTCAACATGTTTATCCAACTGTCAGTCAACTGGCTGGTTCGGTCAACTGGCTATTGCACCGTGGCCTGTCTAAATCACAGTGGGTACATATCGTGATATCCGATCGTGACGAGCGGCCGGTATCGCCTGTCTATATTATCGAACGCGGAAATCAATGTAAATCCTCTGTAGAAAGGAAATGAGATACGACAAAGTGAATTCAACGTGAATCCATTGCGTGTCCTTTACTACCGTATTTTCAATTCTCATTTTCCTACAATTTATTCAGAAGAGAAATTCGAATGTTTTCTAATAGTCCAGCAATTTTTAAAGAAGAATAAGTCCTCTGTGTGTGTCTCAGTAATTAGA